TATTGAGGATGAAATTTGTTTATATTGCAAAAAAATTAAAAAATAAAAATTTCAAGAAACCATCTATGTTTTGATGTTCGTTTGATTTTGTTTTACTTGAAAATTGTCAATTAAAGGGAAATATTTTTTTTTACAATAATTCTTAGAATTTGTTAACTTCGCCAACAAAAAAAAAAGGAAAAAAAATTACATATTTGCTACAGTAACCGGGAAAATCAATTCCCACCAATATGGTGGGAATTGATTTTCCCTAAAAAGCTAGAAAATTTCAAGGTCCAAGAAAAACTGGAACTCTAATTCCATGGGAAAAAAAACCATATCAAACACTTGAAAGTGGGAAAATGGAATCCATTTTCCATTTTCCATGGAAAAGATTTGCCAATCAAATATGGCCTAAGTGTACAAAATAACAAGTTCAATTTATGAATTCCTTTTCAACACCACCAAGATGTTCCAAAATACCGAAGCTCAACCCTTAAACTATAAGGTTGCCCAAGGTAAACTATATAGCTCACATGTGGTCAGTGGGGTCAACTGATCCCACAATTTTTATTTATTATTATTTTTTTAAATCTGTAGTTGTTACCTTTGCGGCTTAATTTGACATACTCATTAAGAAATGTCAAACGAAATCGAAATATTGCATTTTTAATACCATTTTGAAGTGCTCACGGTTTAATTTTTTTGCTTATTAATAGCGTGTGAAACGATCAACCATAGCAAAAGCCGCGATGCATCAAAATAAGTTATTCCAAACCAGTATTTCAAAAATTTTAGTAATATTGTAACTTTATGAATTCACCGATGATCGTACGCTAGCTGAATCCAAAAGTTGTCTACGTCATTTGAAAGCTCATTTCGAGAAGTGTATCTTAATTATATTGAATTATAAACATGCATCAAACGTACATTTTTAAAAGAGGCGTCTAACTCATCTATTCTTTAAAATTTTTTACTTTCATTAACGTTTATTATTTTGACGACAAATTTCTTAATATAATTTACATCATTTTATTAGAAAATTTTACATGGAGTATGATGCTAAAAAAAATTAGAATCGCTATAGATTAAATGTAATTTGATTTACTTTTAAATTAAATTTGAATTTTATTTACTTCGTAGATTAAATTCGAATTTTATTTCAATTATTTACTTTTCATATTCAAGACGTACTCGTTGTTGGCTCAGCATTTGTCAACTAGGTGGTAAACAAACTATACAATTAGAAAAATCCATTTGACAATATTGCTAATGATATAATTATATGACGTTTTCAAAGTACAAAGATTCATAGACTACAACTGTAGTGATGTATTGACTTTTTTTATTAATATTATTATGATGAAGTTCTTAAAAATTGCATTTTAAATTTTAATCTCACAATACAAAAGATCTGTTCCTAATGGCCCACAAAGAGATCAGAAGTGCTGACTAACAAAGAGAATGAGAAAAGCTATTAAATGAAAGAAACAAAGGCTGCTTTTCACGAAGGAATAAAGAGGTTGCTTCAGAGAAATAAACTAGGGTTAGCATGATTTGATTTGGGTAGGTTTCGACTCCAACCTGAAACTAAAATCAAATTAGTTGATTTAGGTATATTTCAATCCAAACCAATCCATTCTAGCTCTTAAACCAACCCAAATCGATTTGATTTGGTTCATTTCGGTTAGCCGATTTAGATTTTTATTAAAAATAGGGTTAATAGCACAAAACGTCCCTACGTTTGACACTTATTGTGAAAAACGTCGATATGGTTCATTTTTTTTGCATTTTCGTCTTTATTTCAACTTTTCATTGCTAAAAACGTCATTTTCACCATTTTTTATGTAAATAACCAAAATACCCTCCTATTTAAATAAAACCCAAAAAAAGAAAAGAAAAATGAAGAATAAATTGTAATCTTACTCCTAAATATTTTAAAAAGTGCAAGTGAATTCAAATAATTATTAAAATGCCTAATAGCAGAAAACGTCCTTACGTTCAGCCAATTGTCTTGATTGTGGAATATCATTGAGAAATAGGAATCCGTGTTATCAAAGGATTTCCTGCGATTATTTCTAG